ATATATATGTGTGTGTGTGTATATATATATATATATATATATACTGTATTTTCTTTTTTTTTCTTTTTATTCCAGAGGGCTATATACTCACCAGAGAGAGTCAGAGACAGAGAGAGGAAGAAAGCACCCTCCAATGGGGTGTGATTACTTCAAAATGCCTTCTACTCCATTTTTCCGTCCTGTTGGGATTTGGGGCACCACATGCACATATGCCTGATGTCACATGCACATGTACCTTATGTGTTTTTTAAGCCACCGGGTCTAGAATTTAAACAGTGTGGCTGGCCATGTGGGATCTGGTTCTCTTAACCACTAGGCAATGCAGCTGGCTCATACACCATATTTCCTTTGTTCATTCATCTGTCAATGGACACCTAGGTTCATTCCATATTCGACTATTATGAATAATGCTGCAATAAATATGTGTGTGCAGATATCTCTTCGGCACACTGATTTTCTTTCATTTGGATATATACCCAGTTGTGGGATTGCTAGATCATATAGTAGTTCTATTTCTAGTTTTTTCTTTTTTATGTTTATTTATTTCTTCCATAAGCAAGATAGATAGCTAGAGAAAGAGACAGAGTAAGCACCTCCAACATAATCTTGATGCCACAATCCACTCTACACGAAGCCAGCTCTGAATCACGGACATGTATGTGTCCAGCATATTCAGGGATGTTTCTGGACATGAACCTAGAACCTTCCCCTGTGAGTTAGCTTTGCAGAGCATCATGTCTTACTGCTGCACCACCATCCAGCCCCTATTTGTAGTTTTATGAGAAACCTCCGTACTGTTTTCCATAAGCTATATTTCCATCAGCAGTGTAAAAAAAAGTCCCCTTTTTCCACATCCTCACCATTTTATTTTTACTTTTTTAAAGTTTTTATTATAGGGCATATGTACTCACCAGAAAGAGACAGAGAGAGAGAGAGAGGGAAAGTGAGAAATCACCCCCCAGGGGGATGGCTGTGTTGCAATCCCTTCTCTTCCATTCTCCTCTCAGAATTTTGGGCAGACATTCACATGTGCTCGACATGATTTTCAAGCTCAGACTCAAACCACATAGCCTGCCTAGTAGGATCCAGCACCTTAAACTCCATGCCACTGCTGGCCCAACATTTCTATTTTTTTTAAAGTTTATTTTTTTCAAAAGTGAGAGAGAGACAGACCCAAACAGGTCTTGGCACCAGGATCCACTCCCCTGCCTTTAGCCAGACCCAGGTCACAAGCAAGTTTGTGCCTAGCATACTCAGGGAAGTCATCAGCCCTGAAGTGGAAACCTTCCAATGTGCGATTGCCTTACAGAATGCCAGGTTTTACTGCTGTGCTACCATCTAGCCCCGTCTTAGCCCATTATTGTATTGCTAACAGAAATAACTGAGACTGGGTAAATTGAAGAGAATAGAAGTATTGACTCACAATTCTGGTATGTGAAAGTCCAAAGGCACAAAATAGCAGAGGGCAGAACCTTGAGCAGAGCAGCTGTCTTTTTTTGTTGTTGTTGTCTGTATTCCTGTGGGTTCTGCCTGCCCCATTTCCTCTCCTTATACACACACCAGAACCTAATCATGGGTGCTCCACCCTAATGACATTATTATACCCAAAGGCCCCACCCTGGGCCACTATAAACGAATTAAGTCTTCACTTAACACCTTTGCAGTACAACCAAGCCGTAACACGTGGACCCTTGGCAGACATCCAACCACTGCCCAAGAAGACCCCGTTGTAAAACATGAACCTTTGAAGGATGAACTATTTTCTGAACTCTAACAGGCCTCTATTTTAATGTTTTGAGGAATCTTCATAGTCTTTTGCAAAATGGCTATGCTAATTTACATTTCTACAACAGTATAATAGTTTTGTTTTCTGCACATTTTTGCAAACATCTGTTACTTTTTTATAATAGCCATTCTTTTTTATTTATTTATTTATTTTTTTGTAGAGGTTTTTGCTATAGGGCGTGTGTGCTCGCCAGACAGACAGAGAGAGACATAGAGACAGAAAGCGAGAAATCACCCCCCAGGGGGGATGGTCACGCCGCAATCCCTTCTCTTCCATTCTCCTCTAGGGATCTTGGGCACGCACTCACACATGCCCGGCGTGAGTTTTAAGCCACCAGGTTTGGGACGCGAACCGCGGTCGACTACATGGGAGTCCAGCAACATAGCCATTATGCTAACTGCTGGTCCCTATGATAGCCATTCTAACTGAGTGATTTTCTAACTCTTTGTGGTTTTAATTTGCATTTCTCTGATGTTTAGCGATGTTGAGCATTTTTTTCTTTGTATTAGATTTTTGCTGTAAGGTATGCGTGCTTGATGGAGAGATAGACAGAGACAGAAAATGAGAAATCATCCACCCACCCCTGAGAATGGCCACACCACAATCCTTCTCCTCCATTCTCCTCTCAAGATTTTGGGCACACACACACATGTGCCTGGCGTGAGTTTTAAGCCACTGGGTCTGGCACTCCAACTGCGGTCGACGGCGTGGGAGTCCAGTACATAACTATTATGCCATATGCTGGTCCTGAACATTTTTTCATATCCTGTTGGCTTTGTATGTCTTTTTTTGAGAAATGTCTATTCAGCTCACTTGTTCATTTTAGAATCAGATTATTATTATTATTATTATTGCTGTCAAAATGTTTGAGTTTCTTATATAGTCTAAATATTAATTCCTTGTCCCATGAATAGTTTGCAAATATTTTCTCCCATTCTGCAGGTTGTCTCTTCAAGCCTTGGCATTTCTAATTCAAAGTATATTATTATCTGAACAATTACAATCTTTTTTTATTTATGAGGTAGAGAGAATGAAAAAACAAATAGAGATAGGAATATTTGACAGGGTCTTGCCATGTCAGGACCATCATACCCCAGTCTCCCAATTAACTATGATTTTAGGAGCATGCAACCATGCCTGGCATATTTGGGTTGGCCTAGGAACCTAACCTAGGCCTTCCATACAGCTTCTGGTCTCCTAGGTGATGGCACTACCTGCGCAACATTGCATCTGGGCCAGAACTAGCAATGTTGGAAGTCATTTATGGAACAAATATTTCAGCCACTCTTTATTTTATAGACTAGCACTTATCTGTACTTAATTTAATTTTAATAGCTGTCCTCCTTCTCCCCTGTAACTCCTTGGCTCCTCCAGGTTCTGGCTTCAGTGATCCTTTCCCTGGAGCACCATCTCAGTACTTACAGAGACTTTCTAGAATGGCCATATTGGAATATGATACTATTCGTCAGGAAACAACTAGAAAATCAAAAAAAGGCAAGAAACGAGAGCTACGAGACTGCTGATAAATATACATTGTGATGCTTTCTTCACTGACTTTTAAGTTTTCTATTTTCTTTTTTTTTTCTTTCTTTTCTCTCTTTTTTTTTTTGGATATGTGATAAGATACTCAATGATTTACGTAGAGACAGAAATGTAAATAGGAAATAAATAATTTATATATGGAATAATTTGTATTTTGTTCTCATTACAAAGAAATGTTTAAATCTTGGTTTGTGGGAACATAAGCATGACAGGAATAGCATTCTATGATATTTGTGCACATTGATTATGCCTTTTGATTTGATTTGATAAATATTTGGAGGACAGTTATCTGTGTAATTAATTTTGTTAGTTACTGCAGAAGAGTCAAAGAAGACTGAGTCCTTATAGTTGGAGATACAAAGGTGTCAATAAGAATCCTTTTTTCCCTGCTTGAGTTTGGAAACAGCTATAAAATAAGTATTCACGTAGATCAAGATGAAAATATTAGCTTGTTTTATTGATAGAACAGGATGCGAAAACCTTGGATGTGGGCTGACAATGGGCCTTCCAGTACTGAATTTCCAAGTCAAGCAAATGCACTCACCCAGGTAGTGCTGACCAACTCAACTCACCTGCTGCCTTTGACTGGGACTGCCGAGCAGATTCTCAAGGGAAGAGAGACTTGCTCCATCTCCAAAGGGAGGAGGAAGAAGGTCCAGGTCAAGAGGAAAACCCCTTCTTAAAAAAGACTGAGGAGGGGGGAGAAGTATGCATCTCTGTACCTCTCTGGGAAGTGTGGGAGATCAAAGATACCAATGCCTGTGAGCCCATGAAGCCCAGGCTGTCAACAAGAGAACCAGGATGCTATGGAGGTTTATAAGTGGAGCAGTAATATCCAGTGGGTGGTTAGAGAAGGCTTCATGGAATATGCTTGAAATGGGCTTAAAGACAGGAAAGATGGAAGCAGAGGGTGTTTCTAGAAAGATGAAAAAATAAGCAAAGGCATACTACATATTTGGGAGTGATACACTTGGCTGGACCCCTAGGAAGTATAGGGAAAGCACCATAAATGTACATGCTTCCAGGTACCAAGTCAGTGACAGATTGAGTGACATCAATTAGGTGAAAGGTGTGGAGAACTGAGGCATGTTTGACACTAGGCACCAGCCTAGTGTCAGCCCTTTGTGCCATATAGGTCCAAAGTTGCCAGATATTCCAGCTTTTCATGATAAATCAGGATCTAGGTTATTATGTGAAACTTTGCAATGTGTAGATGTTAGCAACTAAGTTGAAATAAGCAACTATCAATAGTTCAAAATGTACAATGCCATTGTGGGGGTCACATAAAGTTATCAGTACAAACTACATTTGACTTTGTGGGACCATTCATTTACAGCCTCGGGGACAAAGGAGAAGTGGCATTAAGACTTAAGTGATAGTTTGATCATCTGTGATAGCAGGCCTCAGAAGCCAAGCATGGATGAATCCATTTCACAGTGAGAAAGCTTGAGAATGAAAGTAAATGATTGCTTCTTTGTTTTAGAAAGATTTGCCCAAGTTGTGGGCTGGATTGTAATGGGAGAAGATGGAGGTTGGGAAGCCAGTTAGGGGGTTATTACAAAAAAGGAGGTGAGAATCCGTCAGTAGGAGGGTAGAAGCAAGAATGGGAAGGAGGGTTGGGATAATTAGGATATCAAAGCAGAGGACTTAAGAGCAACTATTTAGATACAGGGTGTCAGGAGCGGAAGAACCAAAACTAGCTCAGAATTTCAATTTTAGGAATAAGAATCTCAGGAGGAAGTGCTACTTTGGGAAATAAGAGGTGAATGCAACCTTGGATCTATTGTTTAAGGTGCCATGAGGACATCCACGTAGAGGTGCCATACAGGTGTTTGAAAAGCATGTGTGCAGTTCTGGAAGAAGGCACTGACTAGAGTCAAAAAGCTAAGAAACATTCTCATAGCAGAGGCTGAGCTTTTTCTGATCAAACAAAGTAGAGACCCGAGCCCAAATTCAAAAGGGCTGGGCAGGAAAAAGAAGAATAAAAAAAAGAGGAAGAGGGAGAGGAAGAAGAGAAGCTATCACAGATAAAGGATAATGCTCATATTCTATGTCCTTATATACTTTATACTAATTTATACAAATATACTATTTTTTTCTTTTTTTTAAATTAGGTATAGCAAATGAAGGAATATATTAAAAGAGAGGAGAGGAAAAAGAGAGCTCCTAAGAAGGGAGGGGTCCCAGAAAATGGGTTGCCCTAATTTATACAAATATACTATTAATATGTATGTGTTTGAATGTATTATCATGATGCATTAGTTCCTAGGAGGATAACTAAATAAACTTAGGTGAATATATTTGTGCTTATATCTGAATTTTGACTGAGAATGATTTAGATATTGACTCTACCTTTTTTTATCTTCCAATCACCTCCAAGTGTGGTCAATGACTTAAGAAATGGTAATCAGAAGAAGGGTATTTTGAAACAAAAATTTGGTGAACTCTTTTGGATGAGCAATTTTTTAGTTGAGCACTTTTTTCTTTTATAAAATTTAAAAAAAGTATTCATTTAATTTTATTTATTTATTATTGTTTAATTTGCTATAGGGCACATGTGCTCACCAGAGAGAGAGAGAGAGAGAGAGAGAGAGGGAGTGAGAAAGCAAGTTACCAGGTCTGGGACTCAAACCATGGTCGGCCATGTGGTCAACCAGTGCCTTTACCACATCACCTGCTCACCCAGGATGAGTACTTCTAGATACCTTGGATTATCATATGGATGGATTTCCTTTACTGAGCTCCTACTATGTGCTGTAAACTTTTAATATTATTTGTAATCTTAGGAAAATTCTAAAAAGTAAGTGATATTATTCCTGGTCTATAAATGAAGAAAACTGATGGATTTGTCTTACACTAGGTCAATAGCTGCTATAGGGCACATGCGCTCAAGAGAGAGAGAGAGAGAGAGAGAGAGAGGGAGTGAGAAAGCAAGTTACCAGGTCTGGGACTCAAACCATGGTCGGCCATGTGGTCAACCAGTGCCTTTACCACATCACCTGCTCACCCAGGATGAGTACTTCTAGATACCTTGGATTATCATATGGATGGATTTCCTTTACTGAGCTCCTACTATGTGCTGTAAACTTTTAATATTATTTGTAATCTTAGGAAAATTCTAAAAAGTAAGTGATATTATTCCTGGTCTATAAATGAAGAAAACTGATGGATTTGTCTTACACTAGGTCAATAGCTAGAAAGTGAGAGAACTAGGGTTCTAATCTACTGGATTCAAACTCCATGAAATAATTTTAAAAACTGTAAAGTTAACATGTAATCATGGTTTAATTACTTAAATTTTAGGGTCATATAGTGCTTTCATAGACAAAAAATATCTTTTAGTAGTGAGTGAGTTCCTGAAGCAGCACTAACACATGTTGGAGCATTTACACTAGTAGAGTGAGAAGCTGGAACCACAGACACAGATAATTATGTCCCCCCACTATCTCCCTTACGAAAGAGCTCAACTCAAGAGAATTCAAGAAAGAAGTGTACCCCAAAATATTTAGACAAGAAGCCATTTTAAAGCTGAGGTGTGTCTTGGCCTTTTCAGGGAAGCTATGCACTAAAAAACAGTTTCAACCAAGAATACTATACCCGGCAAGATTATCTTTCATATGGAAAGAAAGGATAAAAACATTCTCAAATAAACAAGACCTGAAAGAATTTGCCAATAGCAGACCCGCTGTTCAAGAAGTTCTGAAAGGAGTGTCCCACCAGGAAAATTAAGGACACATAATGAAATTAGAGGAAAAAAGGCAACCAAGAAAATGACCAATTTAATGCTAGGGACTAGAAATATCAATAATAACTTTGAATGTTACTTTCCAGGATTTAAACGGAAAGATTGGACCATGGTAACACTGCATATTCAACAGAAGAGAGTTTGAATGTAAGACTGAACTGGCGAAATAGAACTTTATGACTTTTGAGTAAAACATTACTGATTTTTTTGTTTTGTTTTTGGAGAGGTTTTTTTTTTTTGCTATAGGGCACGTGCGCTTGCCAGACAGACAGAGAGAGACAGAGAGACAGAAAGGGAAAAATCCCCCTCCAGAGGGGGATGGTCACACCGCAATCCCTTCTCCTCCATTCTCCTCTTGAGATCTTGGGCATGCATGCACACATGCCCGGTGTGAGTTTAAGCCACTGGGTTCGGGACTCGAACCACGGTCGGCTACATGGGAGTCGAGCAACATAGCCATTACACTAACTGCTGGTCCTACATTACTGACTATTTTTTTTTTTTAACTATGCTTTTGTTTTCTCGATTTAAGCATTTTGCTTTCTTCTGAGTTGTTGATAGGTTCAGCAATTTGTTAAAATATTTTTCTGGGGACCAGCAGTTGGCATTTGGAATTGAAGACAATCTTGACAGAAAGAACGCTTTCACATTTGTAATTTGGAAATTTCTTTTGTGTAAGCAATATCAATCATAATCTTGGGAAACTGTGTCTTATAATAAATATTTAAGATAGGAAGGTAGAGTCCTGATTTTAGGCTGAAAAAATAGTTCTTAACAAAGAGTACTTCACTGAAGGACAAATTACTTGTCAATAATAGTTTCAAAGATATTTCCTAAGAAAACTCACCCTTTTTTCTCTAATTCTGTATCACCAAGCAGCCTTATACTGTAATTTAGACTCCTGAGTAATTATGTCTACTGAAAAATACGCCTTCTCTGGATGGCACCCCTCCTCCATCCTTTTCTTGGGATTTTGAGCACGCATGCACACAAGCCCAGTATGTGTTTCAAGCAGCAGGGCTGGGACTCAGTGCAGTCAGCCAGGTGGGACCCAGCTGCCTCAGCCTCCATGCCATCTCTTGGTCTGTTATACATGAATTCTTTACCTGATTCTATGTCCAGGGATTGAGAAACTTTTTTTGTAAAATAACTAGATATTGAATATTTTAGGTTTTGCAGGCCATACAGTCTCTACTGCAACTACTCAACTCTGACGTTGTAACAGGATAACAGGATGGTGTGTAAATTAACAGGCATGTGGGCCAATAAAATTTTATTTTCAAAAA